CTGCTGAGAGAGCAGAGTTATGATGAGATGATCCCCATTCTTGTTTACACTGTTCTTCAATCCAGAAGCAATTGGGTTTAGAAGTTAAGTGTCTGGGAGTGTTTGCAGTATGCATTCTGAAACTCCCATAGGGTGAAATGGCCCTAAAAACACCAAACATTAACCTTCATATTTCACCTGTTGAAGAGAGCTATGTTTGAAAGTCTCTCCTGCTTTTATAGCAAGGCTTCATTTCATGGTGGTAATACAGTGGTTTATTTGCTTGTTTTGTTCATGTTCAGCAGGCCTGCTTTTTAGATTACAACGTCACGTGTGGTGCAGCCAGTTCTCCATCTTTCTTCTCAGTACTCTTCCTGAAGTGTTTCAGTGTTTTCTAGAACTTGTATCATTATGTAATATTTCAAAACATATACCTTGACTTTGTGCAGCATCTGATTATATGGTATTTAATGCATGTTCTGGGAATCTACAGTCCCCTATTACTTCCTTTTAATAACAACTGAATTGAGTACTTACTGTTCCACTGTGATGCTTTCAGTTGTACATACATGTAGTGCTCTGAATGACCAGTCCAAATTTTATCTAAGGTGGGTATTGCCTCTAAAATGAGGTTTAAATGACTTTTCAATGGCATGTTTTTAATTACATTTTTGAACAACAGTGTATCTTTTTTTTTTTTTTCCCAGAGGAAGTCTACAGCAGCTTCAGCTTCTTGAGGGATATTTTCTCTGATGAGTTCATCTTCTTTCCTGGTATTTCATTGAAGGTAAAAACATCCCTCCTGGAGAAATAATAATAATAGCACAGACAACTAAAATGGCATCTGATTTTGGATATCACCTTAATGTGTGCTTTATGATAAATACCTGCAGAGATAATTGCTTGATCTGTGAGAGGAAGAACTTAAAAGAAGGTCAGAGCATAGGTATTCATTTGGCTACTTGCAAATTATTGTCTGAATCCACCAGGTTGCCATTCCTCCCTTCCCTTCCAAAAACCAAAATGCCCCAAAAAAGGCAGTCCACAGAACCAGAACATTAACTCTTTAACTCCCGCTGCTTTATATGATGTTATGATGTGGAATATCATCAACAGAAATCACAAAACCACGACAGCTGGGCCTGGTGCTATAGTTGGCTTTTTGGGCTTCCAGGGCACACTGCTGGTTTGTGTTTTATTTGCTGTCAGCTAGAGCCCCCAGATCTCTTTCTGCAGGGCTGCTTTCCATGTGCTCAATGCCCCAACTGCATACATATTTGCAGGGTTGCCCATCTCAACTGTAGAACCCAGCACTTGCTCTTGTTAAACTTCATATGGTTGGTGATTGTCAGCCCTCCAATTTGTAGATCTCTCTGTAAGGCCTCTCTACCCTTGTCAACTCTTTCAACTCCTCCCAGTTTAGTACTGTTTTTAAGCTTCCTTAATGAACCTTCAAGTCCTGCATTGATGAAAGCACTGAAGAGGGCTGTCCCTAAAACAGAGCCCTGCAGAACCCTACCAGTAACTGATATGATGCCATTTAGTGATGCAACTCGCTATAAATAGTGTCTTGCTGTTGTTTTTGTTATGGTGGGTTGGTTGGTTTGTTTTTGGATAAAGCTCTCTGCACTTGTTTAGATGCAGTAACAATTCAGTTGTGCTTCTGTTTTCCAGGATTTTGAGGAAGGATGTTTTCTTCTCACAAAATGTGATGCGATTCAAACAACTCAACAGGAAATCTACCCTACTGACAAAGGAAGTATTGTAGTATCTTTCTTGTCAGCTATGTTCAGACCATTTTTGGAAGGCTATCAGGTATGATGTTTTTCAGAAATTGTGGGGTTTTTTTATCGTGAGTTTTGTAGGAAAACTACAAGTGCAGTGGTACTTGTGCACTAAATGGCTGGGGAGTGGAAGAATGGAGAAACAGTAGTAATGTGCCCATTCTTCAGAAGCCTGATTACACCTTTGGCTGAGGATTTTCAAAATGAATAAAACAATAAACAATCTTGTAATCTAATAAGCTATTGTGGGTTTACAAGCTTCAAAGGGAGTGTGCTGCTGGCAGGCTCCATTGCTCTTTCTTACTGGGAGTTCTTACTTCATTCCTTTTGTGGGCTGTCCTGATCGGTTCAGAAATGAGTTTGTATATGACAGGTTCTTATCTCTGTAAATTCTTTTCCCTAAGATTTTAATACAGCTAAATACTTGCATTCCTGTGACAAGTAATGTATACATAAAGAGGAGACTAAAATCTCTGATATATTATCAGTGTAATGCTGAGAGGAATGCAGACGTATGAAACCTAGTAGATGAGGAAACTGTTAGTGCTCTGGTGTCTGACTTAGGCTGATTGGTACTGACTTGCATGGCTTTTCCCATCTGCAAAACAGATAACACTCTAATAAAATTATACTGCTTTAGATTGCAAGAACAGAAACATTGAATTAATGTCCAAGGTAACTATTACAGTAATACTGAATCTTATTTTAATATCTCACACTTGTTGAACAGTAATAAGAATTTCAGATGTGCTATTTAATAATACCTTGTAAGTTCCTCTGCTAACTTTTCAAAGTGTAACAATATTACGACTTTGTAAACAAACATGTCCTTGTACTTAAAAACCAATTGACAATCACAAGGAAGTGCTAATTTTTTTTTCTTTAAATCTTAGTTAATTTTCAGATATCTATCAAAGGAAACAAAAGAAGCCTTTACTGAGAAGCAGTTTATACCTGGAGTCCGCAACTTTGTTTTTCAACTCCTTGAGAAGGGTACGTATGGCTGTAATGCAGTATTATTTTACAAGTGTGACCTGTTAATGGGCAGTGATAAAACTTTCAATTGTGTTTCTGCTTTTTTTGTAGGGACTACACAGTGTTATGAGGCGCTGTCTTCTGACATGCAGAAAAATGCCTTAGCAGCTCTTGTGCAATTAGGTGCAGTGAAGAAGAAGAAAATGTGAGTCAAATTGGCTCTGTGGTATATAAAAGACAAAGTGTGGCCTTACTGGAAATTCTTAATGACTGAGCTATTAGTATTAAGCAGAACAAGAGCCATCCAATTTCTTGAACAGCAGCCAACTGAAGCATGATTTGGGTGTACTTGGGTTGCAGTGAAGGCCTAGGTACTTCTTCCTTCCTGTACAGGTTGTGGAAGCAGGATGCCACCCCTCAGAGTGCAAATGCTCCATGGGCTCCAACAACAGAATTTAATAATCCACTAGTGGGCTTCTTCTGACTCTCCTTTCTGTGCTTTTTGGTTTTCAAAGTTTCTGTCAGGGGCTTGATCTGCAAATAGAACAATCCTGCTTATTTTTAATGAAGGAATAGTTATTCTGTGTTTTATAATAAGACTCACCAAGCAGTGCAAGTATTAATTGGAAACACTTTTCAAATATTTTGATTTTCATTTTCAAATGTCACTGCGCTAGATGGATTTTTGATTCCTTTTCTTCCCCTTTTAAATAAATGGAACATATTGAGTGCAACAGATTTTGAGATCAGCTGAAGATTTCAGATATATGGTTTCAGAGATAGAGTCTTGAAAATAGTATTATTAAAAACAAACAAGCAAATGTTCTTTTACTGCAGTTATCCTTAATGAGAACAGGAAGAGAGACATGGGGAATGTAACCATGAAGAAGGATAAAGAAACCAAAACAATCCTTGAGCACATTTTGTTTAAAAGTCTACAATGCCCTAACAATGAATAATTTTGCTGGCAGGATGAAAGATATAATTAATTTATGATTATTTTAGTCATTTCTAACAAATAAGAAATAACCATTGAAAAAAACAAGTTGTGTGGTTTTGTTTTTGAACCATAGGTCCAATGGATTCTCCTACAGTGTAAATCAGGAGGCTATCTATAAAATCCTGGATGTGTTTGGTAAGTGATGTCTGATTTGTTTGAAAAGCTTCTTGACTTGTACATGAATTTGGACAATGAGCATATGCTGGACCTAGCAATATTTCCAGCTGTTCCTTAACTATTTTTCCTAATAATTTCTCATGTTTATCTGTACAGAAATACAGGTGGTATTTTTTCGGTTCGGTTTCTTTTTTCTGCAATAGTACTTCCTGTGCAGCTTTGAACATCTGTTATAGATCCATTAAGGTAGTAAAAGACCATTAAGGTTGGAAAAGACCCTTGAGATCAAGTGTAACCATTGGCCCAACCCCACCATGCCCTCTAACCGTGTCACTCAGTGCCACATCCACGTGGTTCTTGAGCACCTCCAGGGATGGTGACTCCACCAGCTGCTTGGGCAGCCCTTTGCAGAGCCTCACAGCTCTTTCTGAGGACTTAACTCCTAATATCCAGCCTTCTCTATTTGAAACATCACACAACCCAATGTCTGAAGAAAACAGACCAACGAATAGTTTTATTATAGTCTTTTGTTCTGAGCTTTTTGCTTTCCTTGCCAGATGCCAGAACACCTGTACAGAAGCCCATGGCTGCACGGCTCTGAGTACCGAAGCTCCACCCGCCCGCTAAGGCAGCACCGACCGAGGCCGCATCCCGTCAGTGCGCCCAGAAACCCTGCAGGAACGTGGGGCGGGCCATAGGGAATGTGTGAGTGTGTGTGTGCTTCAGCGGGACTGCTTCGTGCTGCCATTGAGAGACGGTGCCACTGAGGGTTGCAGTTGATTTGTATACTCACTGTGTTTTGTTGTTTTTTAAATTGATTAAATGTTTGGGTTTTTTTTTTTTTTTTTGGTTTTTTTTTTTTTTTTTGGATACGTATTTAAAGAGAAATGCACGGTAATGGAGACTCGAATCCGTTTTCTAGACTTGTAACAAGGAACGTGACTGATTGCTTTCAACTATTTCGCTGACGTGTGGACTGTAACGGGGGCCTGAAGGCATTAACATTAAAACTAACGTTCACACAAGTACTGTCGCCGTGTGACTGCGCGGAACAGACGCCGTGTTTTTAAGCGCCCGGCACCGCACCGCCGTTCGCGGCCGTAGGGCGGCGCGCGGCTCGCCTCACTTCCGGCGGTGGCGGCGGCATGGCGGGCGGCGTGGAGCTGGGCTTCGCCGAGGCGGTGGGCCCGGGAGCCGCCTGGCGGCTGCGCAGCGCCCACTTCCCCAGTAAGGTCGGGGGGCGGCCGGCGTGGCTGGGCGAGACCGGGCTGCCGGGTTCCGACGCGCTGCGCTGCGGCCGATGCTTGCAGCCCCGCGCCTTCCTGCTGCAGCTGTACGCTCCGCTGCCCGACCGCCCCGACGCCTTCCACCGCACTCTCTTCGTCTTCGCCTGCCGCGGCGCCGCCTGCTACCGCCTGCCGGGCCCTGGGGGGCCGCTCTGCGGTGAGCCGGGGGCTGCGGGCTGGGAGGAGCGCCCGTTCCGCTCGCCGCCGCCGCCGCGCTCACCCGCCGGTTCTTCCCCGCAGCGTTCCGGAGCCAGCTGCCGCGCCGCAACGCCACCTACTCCGAAGAGCCGCCCTCCGAAGAGCCCCCGCCGCTCCCCGAGCCGGTCCCTCGGCGGCTTCGCAGCGGCGCCGCTCTGTGCCGCGTGTGCGGCTGCCTGGGACCCCGCGTCTGCGGGCGCTGCCGCCGCGCCGCATACTGTGGCCCCGAGCACCAGGCGTTGGACTGGCGGCGCGGGCATCGCCGCTCCTGCGGGAGAGGCGGGGACGCAGGTGGGGCCGGGCCCGTACGGGGGTGCGCGTAAAGTTGGCAGCAGCCTTAACTGAGGGGCGGCCGTTGGTAACGAGCCGATCTGTGCCGGTCAACGGGTCACACTTCTGAAACGTCTAACAGAAACAGTGAGAAGTAAAAGCCCGTAATTAATATCATGGTTATAGAACGCATATCAGATGCGTTTGTGACAGCTTTTCTACTCGTAGTACACAATGGATGAAAAATGGTACAGCCTGTCATTAGTATTTATGTTTGGTGTAGCAGTGGTGTAGCTTGTATCTGCCTTTGCAATGTTTGGGCTGTATTTTTGTTTCATAGCACACTGTAGCAGCTACTTCTGGGAAGAAGAGCATGAAAAGTGAGCTGACATTGTGAAGTTGTGTCTGTTCTTTGTTTTATAGATGCCACTGAGGACGCAGAGCCAGACCATAATGAATTCCTTTTTCCAGAATATGAAATTTTGATAGAACCTGAGGAACCAGAGTTTCCTGCTGACAGCACTGTGGATCCTGACGATGAGAAAGGTGCTGGGGATGCATCAAAGAAACTGGAAAAACAAGAGGAAAGCAGAATCACAAGCACTACAAGTAAGAAATACGTTAGCAGCGAAGCCTGTGTTACATCTTTAAAACATCAAATGCTGTAATTCTTAAGTGCTCTTTGTAAACTACTGGTGACCAAAAGTTACAGCTACAGTTGTTCATGGTACCTTTTAGTATACATCCCATAACAGAAGTTGCTATTGTGGAGAGGCTGAGCTGCAGCCACAGGAGCTGCTGGAGGTGCATTAAAGCATTGGACATTAGGGCGCATGCTGTACCCTGCTGTGCTTCCCTCAAGAAAGAAGAAACTTGAGTGAGATAAGAAGAGCCCTGAGCATCTGCCATCGTACTTAACAAATCTCTTTGTCTGTGCCAGAATAACATTGTTCTGAAGTAATTTTAGTTGAATTAAAAAAAGTTGAAACACAGGCCCTTTCTGCCCAAAATCATTATTTGTAGTTACCTCACAGGCTTTGTACACACCCAGGGTGGAGAGTTTATAGCATTTAAGGGGAAAGCAAGTGGGTTCCCAGCTGTCCTTTATGGTGTAAAGCTTCCCAGGGATTCTCCATGCTACACATTGATGTGAACATGGGAGGGCTGTGGCAGGGTTGTAACTCTTAGTGATTGAAACTGAAGTCTAGTCCCTGTGCAGTGTGGGTGGCCTTTTCCCAGTGTCACACTCTGCAGGTTGAATGCATTTAACGATCCCTTCTGGATTACTTCCTTCCCTTTCTATTGTTCACTACTGGCATCTATGGCTAAAATGCTAACTCTAATGAGTGGATGCATGCCAGAATCTTAGTATGCCCCAAAAAGAAAAAATAACGTCTTAAGAATGATGTATACTGGGATTGACTGAGTCAAATGCTCTTAGGGATGTAGTATTATTTTTAATTTTTGCTTTCTTGTGTTAACTTGTAATTCTTGTGTGTTTGTTTTCTTGCTTAGGTGATGCGTTAGATGAAGAGACATTGGAAGCAATGGCAAAACACGAGACTAAAGAAGACAAGATCTTCCAAACATTTAAAGATCGAATAACTGTTGAGCCAGAGCAGGTCAGAAGATAAAGCAGCCTTATAACTTGCACAGTGTTGTGCTCCTGTAAAATGTTTCACTTTCAATCCTTTCATTTCATTCATACAATTAAAAATGGTGATGGGAATGCCTCATCATCCTCTACGCATCTCAATTAAGCTTAATTTTCTGTAGATTTCAGCTCATATAAAATGTTGACTATTTAAACAGTCCTGGGAGGACAAACTTTTCCATGAATATGACTTAAAGGAACAGACCTTTTTCTGCAGCCGTCTTAAAGCTGTGTCTACATCAGTAACTACCAGTTTTATAACACAATGAAAGACAGCATTAACTTTAAACTGCTTAATTTCTGCTTTATTTTAGATAATTAGATACTGCCGAGGAGGAGAGGGACCAATCTGGGTATCAGGTGAAAATATTCCTGAAGAAAAAGATATCCCAAATTGCTTATGTGGTGCCAAAAGGGTATTTGAATTCCAGGTATGTAAATTAATTTAAAGATAATAGCATTAATAGAGTACAGATTTAATGGAATCTAATTGTGGGGGCGTACACTTAGAGCAAAATAGTTGAAATTGCTACAGAATAACAGTGCTGACTTGTACAGAACCCATGTTTACTCTTTCAGGTGCTTTTCCCTTTAGGACTTCTTTCACATACATGAGGTAGATCCCCATCTTGTTAATTTGCACCATGAGTAAAATGGGGCAGTTGTGAATATGGAACTGACCCTTAAGTCATAGGAATCTGGTATTGTTTGTTCAAAAATACACATTATAGAAGCATTTGAGATGTGAATTGGAAGTAAACTGAGCTGTAAGCATTCAGCTGTACAATTCTGCATGCTAGAAGCACGTGTAGGTTGAATACACTTCATGTGATGCAAAGATGAGCAATGTAATCATGGAGATAATAATTTGAAATGGAGAGTAGCTGCTAAATTTAACAATGCTCACCTACAGAATGACTGGACTTCAGTAGGGGCATGCTTTTGCTTCCCTTCGCCTCTAGTACTCTGTTTCAGGAAGTGTAAACTGTTACTTAGTGGTTGTAACCTATGTTTTTCCGTGAAGATAATGCCACAGCTCCTGAACCACCTTAAGGTTGACAGCCTTGGGGAAAGCATCGACTGGGGAACACTGGTGGTGTACACGTGTGCTGAGAATTGCAGTGCAGAAAACAAGTATGCTGAGGAGTTCATATGGAAACAAGACTTCTCTGTAGACTCTACTGAACTTCCATTAAGTTCCTAAGTTGAATCATCTATATATCACGCTTATCTTGTTCTTCAACACATCTGCAGGAAACTGAACTAACATCAGTGATACCAGTCTAACAGTTGTCTTGTTGGGGATAGGAGCCCTCAGCAACTTCATTCTTATGCTCTTGAAGTTGGTAATAAAGCCAAATGCAATTCTTCATTGAATTTCACTTCAAATCTAAACTCTGAATGTTTATTTAAATAAAGATTGAATGGTTTTGGACTGGTGAAAGTATCTTTTTTGGCAACCGAATTTGAGAATCTTAGATGATTGCCTGTCAGAACTTTTGCTTTAAAAAATTGACAGTAATTCACAGAGAAAAGCAGATTGCTCAAAGCTCACTTGCATGCTGATGCTCAGCAAGTTACAGCAGTCATAGCTATGATGAAGCAGCATAGCCTTTAAACAGGCAACTTAATTATGCTTTGCTCTTCCAAAAGGTACACTGGATCTTGAAAGGCAGTTGTTACATGTTGTGATTAATGGTAATTCAGGATAAAATGAACAAGTAATTGTTCTATTTGACTTAAAAACATTAACTGAATTAAACTGTTTCTGCATTAGACTATTGCAGAAGCAGTTTAAACAAAGCCTGCCGTGTCAGAAGATGTTTATCATCTGTTGTTTACTGTTCATAACAGCAGATTTTCAGTCTGAACTGTTAACTCTGCCATCCACCTTCAGTGAAGTTTAAAAACAGGTGCCTTCAGTGGGGACTGTTCTGGTATTTGTCTGCTGTAGAACTGAGGGAAGAGCAAAAACATAACTGTAATGCTTAAGTAACTGGGATGGTTGCTTAACTACTCCTGTGGATAAAACTGCATTCGCAATAAAGGAGAGGAGGTGGGTTGTTTCTACCTATAATACAGAATTTACTTAAGTTACTTATTCCCTTCTCCTGCTCAAGCCCTCTGTGTCTGCTTACCAGTGATTCCACAAGCGATTTTATGAAAACACTAGAAGTCACTGCTTTTGTGTAGTTTAGATGCTGGGAATCCTCAACTGAGCAGGCAGAGAATACCTTAAGTGTAAAGCTATTTACTCATCACCATACTTCTAAAAGGATCATTTCCTGGAATAGCACACACCATCTTAAGTCACTACAGCACAGCTTGGCTGATTGGAGTGAAAATCATATGATATATGGCTTAAAGTTTTCCTGCCATAGTTAGCAGTTCTGCAGATGCTACAAAAGGATGATGGCAATACAGCTGAACATTGGACCAACTTACCTAAATACTACATCTGCTGTGTGCTGCGTCTCATTGAATTATGTAGCTCTGCCCAGCAGTATATCAACTTCCTGGTAAGATCAGTGAAACCAATTACTGAAAGACCTGTTGATAGTGGTGCATAGTGTGCACCACCATAAGAATTGGCAAAGATTAAGAATTAAGTTCACTCAGGATTTGCAAATGGTAGGGTAGCAAAGCCAGCCATAACTACTTATCTGGAATGAAATATCATTTTAATTAAGAGACCGTGGTTACATGTGGGTTAGTTTTAGATAAAAGCTGTTTGAAAGAATGTGCAAGTCATAGAAAGGTTATTACTGGAAATGTACTGGAGAAAAAAGTTTATTTTTAGTTCTCAGCCCATTAAGCTTCAAGCACACTTCAAAGGGGAGATTATGTACATGCTGACTCTAGCTGGAAGGGCTTTGACATTTTATAGGAACACTAATATAGTGAGACTGTCATAGTTGGTAAAATACAAAAGTGATTTACAAGAAGTATTAGAAGCTAAGCAAAAAATCTTTTGTTCCAGTTCACTCAAGTGTAGCTATGTAAGACTTGCATAAACCCCATCTGTTGAATGGGAGGCAGCACATACTTGAACACAAACTCCTGTAGCCAGTCTTCTCTTTCCTGTTAGTGTACTGGAAGTAATCAGGCTGGATGTTGCCAAGGATATGACTACTGGTAAGCAAGCCAGAGCACTGTTAAGATTTTCTCCAAATGACAAGTCATTTACAGTAGTGCATGTGCTATTCAAAAATCCAGATTAAATTAAAAAGAACTTCTCAATATATTTCACTTTACCAGCTGTGTAATTTTAAAACTCATTAAGACAGTTCCCATAATTGTATAAACAGGGTTTATTGTACATGTGGAGCTGAAGGAGAAAAGAGGAGGAATATATATATTATATATATATGTACAGTGAGCTGTTTTCATTAATAAATTTATTCTGCCTTGGTTAATACTGGAAAGAGGGAATGTGTCTGGCACCAAAGAAATTTAAAACTGAAGAAATTTAAAAGCTTAACTCTCAAAATTATAAAAACCACAGTCTTAATGGAGGGAAATTAAAACATATATACATGGCAACTTAAGTGGTTTATACACTGAGTGACACGGTCGCATTCATCTTTTAAACCAATTTATGAATTTTCTATTAACAGAACTGGCATTAAAACTATTTAAAAGCTAGAATATAAATAAAACTCGGAGGAACTGCTCCAAGAGCAGCCCAACAAAGCAACTCACAGTAACTCAGTAGACATAATCATCGATAAAACAATTCCCCTTGAGCATCAGGGAAATAGGCACTAACTGGGAAATAGTCCAAGTCTGGTGTTGCAGTTTCACTGAAGTCCATCTCGTTACTGCTGTGCCATATGCAATGCCTTTTAAAATGTACCCCCAATTTCTCTGAAATATGTAGAAACTGTTACGTTGTCTTCCGGAAACCCTTTAAAATAGGATAGATGTTTTCAAATGCTTCGTAGATTTCTGCTCGAACTTTAGCACCTGCAACAAGAGAGAAATTGACTTCATTCCCTCTCTCTCCAGAGCCAAATGGTTTATTTTAATTTTTAGAATGTTTATTTGAATGCAGCTTTATATACATCCACCTCTATTTCTACATGTAATTCTTCCTTTAGATAGACATTTCCTATAAAACATACATTATCAGAATTAACAGAAGGCGAATAAAGTCCTGAGAGTTTGTTTCATTACCATCTTCGTGCTTCTGACATACTTGCAAATGAGATTTTCTAAACATACTTTCTCAGTACGCTGAACTGCAAAGCACAGCCTCATAGGATGTTTCTGCAGAAGGGCCTGAACAGCAGAGTTCTATTCAAGAGTGCAATCATCTGGGAAAGCAAGGAAACTGCGACTGAAGCAGAGGCCATAGTGCAGGTATATGTTCCTTCTTTCATCTGTGAATTCTTTGTTTTTTTGTTTGTTTTTTTGTTTGTTTTTTTTGTTTTTTTTTTTTCAATACAGTAAGGCTTAGCAGAGGGGAAAAGGAAACGTGTAGGTGGAGTGCCTAAGGTTAAGGAAGCCCCAGAGCTTGGGTATCTCCCCTTCTTTGGCTGCTGCATCAAAGGAAAATGGCAACAGCCTCCAGGCAAGCTGCTATAACGCAGTGAGCTCAGTCGCACGACCTAGTGCACAGAAGCAGACTTTCAGATTTTGCTGACAACATTACCTGAGCTCTTTTTGGGCATCTGCCATTCTTCATTAGGATTCAAGATCGCTGCTTATAAGGTTTAACCAAATACATGTGGTTTGCTTTGTGGGTTCTCATCCACAAAACACTGTACTGTCTGTTCTTTCCCAGTACTGTCATTTCTAAAGAAGAGCAACTAATAAATTGCATGCTTGTGGGACCATTGTTTCTAATACAGTCTAAATCTAGCCTACTGGAATAAAATACTTGACTTACCAGTTAAAACCACTTTTCCAGAAACAAAAATAAGCAGAACAATTCTTGGCTTGATCATTCTGTAGATTAAGCCAGGAAACAATTCCGGCTCGTAGCTGTAAGAGAAGAGTCACAGTGTTTCAATGTGCCAACAAACAGATGTCCTAGCCCTTCATCTGCAGAACTGCAGAAACAGACAGTGCAGATGTAGACAATTTGGGAAGAGTAGCAAAGAATTATTGCCCAATATCAACCCATGAAAATTACATCAGTTACCCCAGAGGCAGAGCCAGGATAGGAACGAAGATGCTGGCTCCTCTCTGGTGTAAGGAAACGATCTAAACAGACACCACTCTCTAAGCTAGTCACTACACAGCAAGAATGAAAGGTAAGCAAACCTTCATTTACCTGCTGAACTGCTGGTGTGTGAGTACCAATCCTTCTAATCTGATAGGAAATTTCACATCACAGCTGCCCACCATGTTCTGAATTTTAAAATCCAAAAATTTTGCAGGAAAACCCAGTTTCTGAACAACTCTTGCGTACTTCCTTGCTGCCAGTCTGGACTGTTCTTCGCTGAAGGGAGAAAAGGATAGCCAACTTATTTCCCCTGTTAAGCACGACTTCAAGCAAACAGCACCAAGCCACAAATATTTAACTGGGAAAGAAATGTTGTGTGTGTTGCAGGAGAGGAGAGTTGCAAAATGCTTACATCCAAAATTAACAACTATTACTGGTTTGCACACTTAGTTGGAGTACTGAAGTCCTGAACACTTTAACACTGCATTCACTGTTTATGAAGCAGAAAACTCTACTCTGTAACTCCATGTATTTCCACACCCTTCAAATATGTACCTGACTCCCTCTGTAAAACATTACAATTGTTACTTAGATTTTCAATCCCACTACTGCTACAATCTACAAACTCCTATAGGAGTCTGTAAACTGCCAAAATCCTCTGCTTGATGTGGCCCAGGTACTCAGACTCAGACCTGGGTTTAACACAACTACACAGCCTTACTTGCTACTACAGAACTCAATTTGCTTCAGTTTTTTTAAAACAGAGGAAGATCTGGTTCCTCCTGAGGCAGAATAAGACAACTTGAATTGTGAACATCACCAGGCAGAGGAAGCGTTTCCTGCACATCTTTATTCATCATTGATGATCAGAGGACTGGAGCATCTCCCCGACAAGGACAGGCTGAGAGAGCTGGGGTTCTTCAGCCTGGAGAGGGCTCCAAGGAGACCTTATAGTAGCCTCTCAGTACCTGAAGGGGGCCTACAGGAAAGCTGGGGAGGGACTTTTTGTATGGGTATGTAGTGACAGGATGAGGAGAAATTACTTTAAAATGGAAGAGGGTAGACTTACACTAGATATTAGGAAGAAATTATTTACTGTGAGAGTGGTGAAACACTGGAACAGGTTGCCCAGAGAGGCTGTGGATGCTCCCTCCCTGGAGACATTCAAGGCTTGGCTGGATGGGGCTTTGAGCAACCTGGACCAGAGGGAGGTGTCCCTGCCTATAGCAGGGCATTGGAACAGGATGATCTTCAAGGTCC